TGAAGCATCCACTACACACAGCGGTGCCTGTGGCCCTAAGCCAGGACGGTGGCAGCAGAGTCAGGCGGCAGGAAAATCCAGCAGGGATAGAGTGGGACTGTGGAGTAGTAGTAAGTTACCCTGGAGAGAGGGTCCCCACAGGGGAGGCCCCCCCTAAACTGGGTGTGGTATATCTGTGTGTGTATATATATATATATATGGTACATAGATTATATATATATATGTCTTTACTCTTTAATGGTTTTGTTGTGATAATAAATCTGTATATAGTTAAGTAATTGATTGACTGGACCTGACTCTATAAGGGACAGAGGTGACCACTGGGCTGTTGTGTCCCTCCACAGCACACTGACCTGCCAATAATTCCCTCAATTGGAGAGGGAAGTACAAACCCGTGTGCACCTGGGCTACAAGGGTATGAGAGAGAACAACTGAGTGAGGTTGGGGCAACCTGCGTGGAAGTGCGGGATCTTATCAGCAGCAGCTTGTGAGGAGGAGGAGCGGTTTCCCAGAAAAGTGGAGGTAACTTACCTGAGAGAGAGAGACATGAGACCCCTCTGGTAGGCTGGGGGGATGAGCTGTTCCTGTAAACTGTGAGCTGGACCCTAAAAGGGAAAAGACAAAGGAGAATAGACTGTTAAGGTGAACTAGGCTGATCCCAGTTCACCAGCTGTGAGGACTGTGAGATATTGAAATGGATGAGACTGACTAATGTTCTGTGCATGGGACCACACCAGGTATTTTCCTCAAGAGGTATTGAGGAACCAAATATAAGCTTGGTTAGATGGTCTGTAATCTTTTTTTGTTTACTTATTTACATATTCTCCCCTCAAGATGTGGCAGGAGAGTTGGCAAATGAAGATCATGGGAAGGTTTTCAGACCAAGAAAGAAGAACCTCAAGACACCTAACTTACCTGTAACAATTCAGTACAAGTAGTAGTAATACAAAGACATACCTCCAGAGTCTCTGTATTTTTGCTGGCTGTTTATCCTTCCCAGGTTTGCAGTCATACAGTCATTACTGTACACTTTTCTGAGGTATATGTTAATGTAAGGGGTTGGTTATGAATATGCACACAGCTAGGCAAAGAGCACATGATAGAGAATTTCATCCCAGTGACCATGTGCCATCATTTTATCAAGTCTAATCTCTACGCTGTTTAACACTGATTGTTTGCAGACTTAATAGTTACATCTCAGTCACTGACAATGAAAATGGCTGCCATTCTTCCTGGTAAATGACTTTGTTTTTGTCAGTGTCCGAGCACTTGTGCTTTTAGTGGGCAAAACAGTCTGGTGTTACCATTTTATCTTGAGACAAGGTTAACATAGATTTCCTGTTATTTCTGTTACAAATTTGAAGCAACACATACTACAGTTCATTTCCTTGTAAAGTGGAAGATATAGACCAGATGCAGACAGTTACTCTAAGGCTACTAGTGTCTTCCTTGTAGAGCTCACTTATGCACACAGGCATAAGTTTTGCTCCTGTGTATACATCATTAGTGGCCTGATCCAACTCTGAGTTGTATAAGAATAACTCTGGGGAATATAAGAATATTGCTTGGGCATGCAGCAATTAAATCAGGAAGGCCAATGCACAATTGGTGTTGCAGCTAACAAGGGACATGAAGGGTTTCTACAAATAAGTTAGCAACAAGAGGAAGGTCAGGGAAAGTGTGGATCCCTTGCTAAATAAGAGAGGCAACTGAGTGACAGATAAAGAGGAAAAGGCTGAAGTACTCAGTGCTTTTTTTTTTTTACCTTTGTATTCAAAGAAAAGGATATCTCCCAGACTACTACCCAGGCAACACAGTTTGGGGAGAAGGTAAGCAGCCATCAGTGGTGAAATAACAGGTTAGGGAGGATTTAGAAAAGTTGGAATTGTATGAGTCCATGGGGCTGGATGCAATTGCAAAGCTGCTGGCCATTATCTTTGAAAACTCATGGTGATCGGGGAGGTCCCAGATGATTGGAAAAGGAGAAATATAGTGGCTATATTTAAGAAAGGGAAGGAGGATCTAGGGAGCTACAGCCTTACTTCAGTCCTTGGAAAAATCATGGAGCAGGTCCTCAAGGAATCAATTTCTAAGCACTTAGAGGAGAAGAAAGTGATCAAGAACAGTCAGCATAGATTCACCCAGGGTAAGTCATGCCTGAGCAAACTGATTGCCTTCTATGATGAGATGACTAGCTCTGTGGATGTGTGGAAAGCAGTGGACGTGATATACCTTGCTTTTAGCAAGGCTTTTAATACAGTCTCCCACAGCAGTCTTGCAAGCAAGCTGAGGAAGTATGGGTTGAATTAATAGAGACTGGTCCCAGTGGTGGCAGGTGGCAGAACAAGGAGCAATGGTCTCAAGTTGCAGCAAGGGAAGTTTAGGTTGGATATTAGGAAAAAACTTTCTCACTAGGAGGGTGGTGAAGCACTGGAATAGGCTACCTGGAGAGGTGGGGGAATGTCCATCCTTGTAGGTTTTTTAATTCCTGGCTTGATAAAGAGCTAGCTGGAGTGATGTAGTTTGTCCTGCTTTGAGCAGAGGGTTGGACTAAATGACCTCCTAAGGTCCCTTCCAACCCTAAACTTCTATGATTCTATGAGCTGGGAATTCCTTTAGTGACTTCACTGGGAGCTGAGTAACAAGCATTTCACAGCTGGTGAATTCTGCTCTGTAGATCCTCCTGTACCTGGAAACAATGAATCACAAGTGCTTTTATGCTGGAATCACAGATGTTGACTCATAAGAACCATAGGCAAGTGTGTTGCATACTGCTCCTGGTCCTTATTTCTGTCCCTCATATGATTCTGGTAAGTCATTTGCAGTCCCAACTTTTGTCGTATGTCTGGAGGTGGGGATAACGGGAAGGAGAGGAGATGGTACTCTCTCTGTTTGAGAACTTCCCAATCCAGTCTTACCAGCTTTTTCTATTTCCACCACTACCAAGAAAAGAGGGGAACATTAGGTTCACAGTATGAAATATAAAAAGGTCCATTTCTGGGATTAGACATTAGCTTTGGCCTTCTTCCTCTAATGGGTGTAGGCAATTACGTATTAATACTTAATTATAACAGTCATAATAATTAATAAGCACACTACTTACCAAGGACTGGTTTCTACTACCCTTATTAAAGCTGAATAATAGTTCCTTACACTGCATGTAGCTTCATTTTAGCATTCATATAAGGGTAGTGGTCTCCAGTCTGAGACATACAAAGAATATGAAGGAGGCAAATACCCGCTGCACTCTTCTGTATATAGGGGATACAATGAGAGTTGTCTGTGCTGCTGACACAACATTTAAGGGTATGAGGGTATCACATGAACAGAGCAAAGGTCCAAACAACTGCTTACTAATTACGTACATGTAAATGTTGCTATTCCATTAGGTGCTGTGACTTCCACCACGACAGAGAGGGAGGTCTATTAGTGGACTCCTAATTTTCTTAAGAGATGTTATCCAGTTCTTGTATGTTACAACAGGACTCATTTATTACTCTTTTTACAAAAAATTGCTATTGGGGTTTATTTAACTAAACATTTGACAAACTATGTGTATGTTAATATCTAGGCTGATGAACCATGCAAGGCTTCATCTAGCCTGTTTACCCCTGTCAATCTGCACTGCAATATAAGAGTTAATGTGTTGTGACTGATACAAATGGACAAGATGTATTGCCAAAATATGTGCTGCTTGGAAATTCCAAAAGACAACTACATGCACCCCTCTTCCTCCCATCAGCACATATAATTCCTGATGCTGACTGTATAAGTGAACTGGCAAAAAATCTAAAAAATAAAGCATTTTTTTTCTCTTTTTTGCCTGTAGTGTGAGGATGTCGTGATCTATAAGTCACATCCTTTGGCCACATAGAGATCAAATCGTACAATCTTCAAATTCAGGTTCACCTTGAATCCTATACAAAGGTCTCTGCTCTCTTACCTGATGGCACGCCAGATTTCCAACCCAGTCCTGGGAGCCTTAATTCTTCATTCAACTGAACTGTATGTATCTGTATGTGGTACAGGAAACAATTCCCGGGGAGACTGATGCAAAATCATCGCTATGCGTGTGCATTTTGGCTAACAGTTTGCTGAGATTCTGCAGAAGAGTCATTATTTTGATCTGCAGATTACATCTATGCTTTTAAGGGCTAATGAGCTGTGGATAAAATTGAGGCTATTGTGACAAATGTAACATGAGGGAATTACATGGGCATATTGCAATTCATAACTGCTTGCAGCATTCAAGGCCTACCATATACATTGCTTTTGGCTTCTGAAATGTAAAAGATAGTGGAAATAGACTTGCTTTTGGAAATGGAATTGCTTTTGCTCCCTAACTGGATGACTACGTTTTAAAGAATAAGTCAGTAATAAATAGAGAGTAATAAATGCTGCATGAAACATATACAATGTAAAGTTTTGCAGATACATTTTGCATTTAAAACTGAGTAAATTGAGAATTTCCCATTTTCCATGAAATTTTTTACAAAGAATTCCAGTTTTGGGGGAAAAATCCATGACTAATTGAACACTTTTTTTTTGGCAAATGTCATCCTGTATTGTTTCATTTAAAATCAAAATTCAGGAAATTTCAGCTATCAGGTGGTAATCTAAATATAGGCAAATTATCTTATGAATAATAGTAATATTGACTTTGCTATTTACATTTTTGTGTATCACTTAGAAAAGACATTCAATTCCTGTACAAGGAGACCAAGGGAACTGCTCATTTGTACCTGTAAGGAAAATGTGTGAAATGTATGTGTATTTTTTCTTTTTAATTAAGTCCAAAACCAAAATATATTTTAATCAGAAAGAAGATAGAAAAACAAAAAGCATAGGTAGAATAAAAAGCTTGAAGCTGCTTTTTTTTTTTCTTTTCTTTTTGAGATGCTTCATGCTTTTATTAAATGTTTCAGGTCAAAGAAGCAACCATTATATTATTTCAGCATATATGAGCACTCAGGTCATGGCTGAAAGAGCAATGCGGACCTCTAGACTCCCTCAGATCCTTTTGTTATAGTATGTATATTTGGACCATGATCACCATCAGCATTTTCTACAGCTTCAACTAGTTGTTCCTCTCCAGGAGGGCTGTATATCTTTTTCCAGAGGGTATATTTTTCATCCCACAAGACTTCTATCATGTCCCAGAGTGCTCCTTTTTCCTCTTGTAGGTCCTGGTCATTCTCTCTGAAAGCCATATACTGTTCCCAGAGGATCATTTTGTCCCTTGAGATAGCCATGTCCTCCTCCCAGAAGACCTTGTCCTTCTTCCAGAAAGCCTTGTATTCCTTCCAGAAAGCCTTGTTCTTCTCCTGGAAAGTTTCATTCTTTCCTTGCAGAGCTTTGTTCCTCTCGCGCATGGCTTTGTTCCTTTCCTGGAACTCCTTGTTTTTTCTCTGGAAGGCTCTAATTGCCTCCCGGCAGGCCTCGTTCCTTTCCTCAAAAGCTTTGATCTCTTCCTCGGCTCCCTTGATTTTCTCCTGGTAGGCTTCAATTTTCTCTTGAATGTCACTGACCTGCTCCTGGAAACCCTTATTTTTAAGCTGGAAGTCCTTGATCTGCTCCAAGATGGCCTTATCTTCCTCCAAGAAGACCTTGATCTCCTCTATGAAAGACTGATTCTTCCCACGGAAGTCCTTGATCTCCTTCCATAAGGCTCTGGCTCTGTCCCCTTCCTGAAAGGCCTTAATCTCCTCATGGAAATCTTTGTTTTCCCCCCAGAAGGCCTTGATCTCCTTTTTAAAGGCTTTTTTGTCCTCTAGATTATGACTGAGCTGCTTCTTCTGTAAGTTGGAAAAGGATGCTGGGCGGTTCTTGTTCTCTTGCTTGGGGTTGTAGGTAGCTGGTGTCACATTGTTTTGGCTGACCTGGGGCAGGCTAAAATCCAACCTTTGTTCTTTTTTTTGCTTTGGGTCCATTGGATGCATAGAATACTGGCTGGTAGCCTTTGTGAGGGGCAGAGAAGTTGGCTATTTGTGAAATGGTTCACTAAAACAGAAATATAGGAAATACAAGCCAAACAGGCAGGATTAGCTGCAGTGTTCATAGGATGGAATTAAATTACATTAGAGAAAGAAACTAGCAGCTAAATAAAATTTTTATCCATGGATACAATATACGGTGCATTATTTAAAATCTATGGCTAACATTCTTCAAATGGGACTAGTGATTTGAGTACCTCTATTTTTGGTGTCCAAATTGACCCATTCTAAGATCTTCATTCAGAAACCAAGACACTATTAACATGCACCAAATGTAACACTGCCAGGCTGAGCCACTCTCTAGTCTCTTTTGAAAACTTTGGCTTGAATAGCCATCAAAATGTTTTAAAAGCGAGCCAGTTTGGGCCAGTCTGTAGTTACATTGCACCTGTAGCATCAGATTCAGCACAGGGGACTTTGTCTTCTGGCTCATGGGGCTTCTGAGAGGTGCAGCAGTTCCACGCTTGGGGCATCTGTGACGCATGGGAAGCACCTGCTGTCACCCGTGAAGCAGTAACTATTTTTGTGTTCTTCCACAAAGGCTGCACTTGAGATTGATAGGGAGTGATTTGGCCAGCAGTTATACCACTGGGCTCCCCCTGGGTCTGGAAATTTGGTGTTGGGGGTGTAGTGGCAGCACTTGCTGGGAAACATGGCAATTAAAGCTGTCACTGCTCCCCTGTCACAACATTTCAGGACCCATGGGGAACGCCACAGGCTGGATGACAGCACCTCCAATCAAATTCGGCCTATGGGCTGTAGGTTTAAACACAACTGCTGTAAAGCACCCACTACTAGCTGCTCCTCATTCTTTTCTGAGTACTGGAGTATGTAGCTGCTTGATCTTCCCCAGTATGGCAGTTCTCCTGCTGTTACTTAGTCACCTATTGCCAGCACCATGTGATGCTACCTTGCCATAATTAGGTTAAAAATTGGAGGAATACTTTGTGGCTTGCTTTTTTTTTTTTTTTTTCAGCCCCCTTCTTTTCCTTTACCACTCAGAACAAATTCTAAATTAAATCTTTCATTCCTCGTGTTAAATTGCAGCCAGATATTATTTATTTTTAGCTTACCTGCTTCTCTATGTCGCTGACGTCTCCTGTGCTGCAGATGCTGCTGCCAGGCTATCAGAGCTTGCACTCTAATGATGAGAATGTTCTAAAAGATCCAGAATCTCAGTATTCCATTTTGGAACGCAGAGATGACAGATTCTTAATTATTCAGTATGTCTGATGTGATTATGAAGTCATATGATACTGGTTTTACTTCTTGCATCATTAACTGAAGTGTAACAAAATGATGAATAATCTATTATGAAAGTTACAATGCTACAAACACTCTAGTGGGAGTGGTCATTCATCTAAACCATGAACATCTTCACAAACACCTTCCAGTGATCCAAATAATCTGAATAAGAATTACAGCAATTACTGTGTCATACTGTGTATTTCCTGCACGGATTTGTAAAACTGAGCACCAGTTATTCTTTCCCCCCTAATTGAACAGATAGATTATGAGCAAAGCAGATGTGATTACAAGGTGAGCTGGCTTTTGTAAGTGTTATTTGGGTCAGTCCCTGACCACTGTAGCGGCTCTGAACCTCTGAGCACAATTGCGGAAAGACAAGAAGCAAGAAGATGGTGTCTTGGAGGAGCAAAAATAGGACATCAACAATGGAATTAGAGGATTGGATTAATGCATTCTTATTAGTGTTTTAAAACACATCTCTAGGGACTTGCTGTCCACCTTAGAAGCCTAATAAATTACACTGAAGTCAGAAGTGCTTGAAATCCGTGAGAGTCACATGTATCTTTTTTGAGGCTTGGAAAATAGTTAAGAGAACTACCAAACCTTCTCCCTCATCCCCCTTTGTTTGCAGTGCATTCAACTAGCACAGCTTTTTGCATCACACAGGAACACATGCACAGATGTGCACAAAAACCTTGTGTGCTGATACTGTGAAAATTACTGATCTTTCCCAGTAGTTAGTGTTCTTATGAAATTAGATGCTAAGGGCCTGGCCAATGTATAATAGCACAGTTTTTCAAATAATCTTCTGACTTTAACTGTAAAATATCTGCAAGCACAGCAGAGGTAACACAAACCTGCTAATCCTGTGATAGGTGATTGGGCAGTGTTGTTTGAACAGCACAGAGATTTCATAAGCATTTCTTAAATGCTTCTGAAGTCATCATGCTTAAGATCTGCATCACCCCAGGCCAAAGCTGAGGAGGATTCAAGTGCACTAAAATGGATGCTTCCCTTTTACAGAGAAAGTTACTTCTCTCTGCATTCTACCAAGGACAAACAAGCCATGCAGGACAAACATGGGGCTGTTGCAGGTTTGTGACAATTGCTTTGATAACCGGGGTCATAGCCTCAATATTTAGGCCCATTTTAGCTGCAGAAATAGATGGAGGAAGTATGTTGATTTTTACTATAACCCAGATATGTCCAAGTGGAGTGTACTAATGCAGTTCTGAAAACCACTGATGATACTATAGCCTAAATCACTATGGCTAGGGACAGAAGTTAAATAAACCAATTTAAGTCATCAGAAACTGTCTTAAATCTATAACAGAACAGAAGGTCAGTGCACATAAAACAGTTTCAAAATGGCTGAACCTGGTTTAAGGTAAACCTTGTTGAATGTAGTATTCAACTTAACTGATTTAGGTCAAACCAGTTTATGAAACTTCTGTCCCAGATCCCTTTGTGGTTCAAGTTAAATCATAGTCCCCCAGTATCCCAGCATGCTTTCCAGTCCTGGGCTGGGCTGGGCAGTGCTGTCTGCTCCAGAGAGCAGGGTTGGCTTTGCCCCTCTGCTCCCTAACCAGAGCAGTGAGGGCTGGCTGACAAGGGGATGGGGGCCATCCTTGCCATTTTTTGCTGCTGGAGCAGAAGTGGTGGGACGTGTGGGCAGGCAGGCTCGGGTGAAGGGAAGGGAGGGGGTTTTAAACCCCTTCTCCCACTGGCACAGGACCTGAGCCAGGGTCTGCTTGGCAGGGGGCTGGCAGGAGACCAGCAGACTCCACCCACTCCCACCTCTGGCAACAACTGAGGCACACAAGCAGTTGATAAGGGGAGGGGGAAGGGTGTCCAGTTCCCCTCAGCTCCTTCAGGCCATGGGGGAGAGGGAAAAGACTGTGGAACTGGAGCTAGAGGGACTGGTCCACTGCCACTTGCGAGCACAAGGCCAAGCCCTGCAGGACCAGACTGAGGGGGGAGGTGTTGGGAAAGACCTGGCACAAACATCACATGTATGTGCTAGAGATGGAGCTAGGGGAACAGGAGAGGGTCCCAGACTGCTTGGGCTGGTGTGACCAGAGAAAGCAGAGAACTACATTTTATATTATAAAACAGAACCTATAAAAGGTGAGAGACTGGAATACCTAAGCACAGACAAAAGACAGTGAATGCATGAGAGTTCTGCCAAAGTTGAGAGCACAGCGAGAGCACACACAATTTAGGAGATACTCTGTCCTCAGGATTACATAAGACTTATGCACGGTAGAGTGTCTCCTTACAGCCAGGTGTTCACCCCTCCTCAGCCTCGCAGGGGCTGCCCTCCCCCACCTCAAGTGGGGAGCGGGGGGCAGAAGGCTGGCAGACACTGCCCCACTACCCAGGCAGACCCAGGCTGGGCTCCTGTGTAGTCCAGGGAGGGGATTTAAACTCCAACCCTCCAGTGTACTAGCCCCGTGCTGCAGCCTGGCCATGCCCCTTGCACTTGAGCAGGGAGTGGGGAAAAGCCTTGTGGCTTCGGTCCCTTCTCTTTGGCAGTAGATGGCAGGCTGGGAGGCATGCTCTAGCACTTCCCAACTTCTGGCCTGAGCCACCGCAGGCATGTGGCTGCATTCCCTGAATCAAAAGTGCATGTCTACTCATTTTCTTCTCAGTTTAATCTCTGCAGTTTATTCTAAACTGTAAAGCCTGAATCAATTCAGCCTTGGGCTTTTTGACTGTCTGTACTTAGCCTATAGGCACCAAATCACCCTGTATCACCAGGTCAGTTTCACTGCAGAAATGTTAATTTGTCCCTATTTGTATCTGTTTAACCCACCTTCTCCTTCACACACATGTGGGTGTTTGTTTTTTTTCTGAACAGTGTCATTTTTGGTTGTCCTGCTTATATCCCAGGACACACATGCTATGCATATGAAATTAAAACAAACAAACAAACAAAAACTAAGAGTTTATTGGATTTCATTGATGTATGTGGACTAATTCAGTTTTCAGGACTTAAATACCTTGATTATCTAATTTCCTAGAAAAAGGAATGCATTTAAATATACCAAGGAAGCAGACTATCAGTGCCAGCTGTCCAGTTTGCCTGATTCTATAAAAGTAACCCTGTTTTGGAAACTACCTGTTTAGGATCATGTTCCCTAATATTGATAAGGTAGTGAGGGAATATAGCGTTTGTGGAAGACATCCATGAATGGTCTGTGGATTAGTTCTACTACTAGGACTCAAGTAATTGGATTTCTCAAGGTAGTGTCAACATTTTTTCATTAAAATATTATAGAGAGATATAATGTATAACATAATCTCTGCAACTGAGTATCTTTTAATAAAATGTTGCCTAATATAAAGCCATTTCATAATTAAGTCCTGTTACAGTAAGGGTCTGTGGTCAGATAGCATTGTAAACTATTTAATATTCAGGCATTTGTGGGATTCCCTTACTTTACAGTCAGGATCAGTTTGCTGGTTTCTAATCTGAGCAGAATTTCTTTAGTTTTGACATATTGGGCGTGTCCACACATGCAAGCATGTGCGCTTGCAGCATATCAAATAGAAGAGGTGCAAATTTGAGCCGGGGCTTTTTGCCTCAGTGCACATGCTCGGACGTGCACTTCATTATGGACCAAATTGTGCCACTTGGGGCAAAATAACGCTGCCTGGCTCCTCCCGGATCTGCAACCAGAAGGAGCTAGAGCCTGGGGCCAGCACCTGTGCTATCCCCAGAAGTATAAAAAGCTGCCCTGTCCTGGCCCCATCCATACAAAAAGCTGCCCTGGCAAGCAGCTTGGGGCTACTCACTCTCTGGAGCTTCTGGGGCTCGGCTACTTGGTACCTGGGGACACTACCCCTTGTGCCAGATGGACTGCTGCAGCAGCATCCCAAATCCATCTTTAAAAATATCCCCAAATTAATGTTTTTCCACAATTAACACAAAAGACCACTCTATACACACACACACACACACACACACACACACACACACACACACACACACACACATATCTAGAGAGAGAGAGACAGCAATCAGTTGGACAATGCTTTATTGGTATATTTACAATGTTAAAGCAATGTGGAAGCCTACCAGTGTCTCTATCATCATGATAAAATAAATTCTAAACACCTATATGTGTTGATGTGTGCTTTTGGTTTTTTCGCACATGATGGGTGTGTGATGGGATGTGGTGTTTGTGGGAAGGGGGTGGGAAGGAGTGTTGGGGAAGGTGTGTGTGTGTGTGTGTGTGTGTGTGTGTGTGTGTGTGTGTGTGTGTGTGTGCATGCATATGTCTCTCTGCAAGAATAGAGAAAGGAAAGAGAGGCTGAGAAAATGGTAATTGTGAATTTGTTTCAAAATCATTCACAATAAAACTACCTTTTCAAACATAAAATGGCAGTTTCTCGCCTTCACAGCACCGTTAGCCCCCCTGCCCAGGGTCCCAGCTCCCACTGGAGGGCCCCAGCCTCCCCCCACCCATGGTCCCAGACACCCTGGAGGGCCCCAGCCCACCTGCCCAGGGCCCATAAGTTACCTTTAGCAGCAACAGCAGCAGGAGTGGGATGCTCTGAGCCATGGCAACGAGACCTGACATGGCACATGGGGACCAAGTGCTGGGTCCAGCTGGGTCCTGCCAGCCCTGGGGACTGTCTGCTGCCTGGCCAAGCCAGGGCCTTTCTGGCAGGACCTGGCGCAGCACATGGGGACCACATGCCAGGCCCAGCTGGATCCTGGGGCCTCTCTGCTGCTAGGCTGGGCCCTTGGTGGCAGGACCTGCCACCCTTGGGGCCCCTCTGCTGCTCAGCTGGACTGGGCCCTTGGTGGCAGGACCCGATGCAGCACGTAGGGACCATGCGTTGCACCTGCTGGGTCCTGCTGCCCTGGACCCAGCCCGGCCAGGTGACAGAGGGGC